TCTCTCTCTCTCTCTCTCACACACACACACACACACAAATGGGGGGGCCTGCAGTTCTGTAATAAAAAATAAGCATCGATTACTGTTCAGCCTCTTCTCCATAGCAGAAAAAGATTTAACTTTGTACAATACCATGTCACACAAGTAAGGGTAAGCTACTTTACTGTGGAAGAAAGTCATTGCCTAAAGCACTCACACTTACCATAATCATCTAACAAGATATTTTCTGGCTTCAAATCCCTGAAAAGAAAGAGAGAAAGCAAATGGGGGTAAATTGCAGCTGTTTTGGTGAAAGCAGCTTTGATAACATTGGAATCAGTGCACCAGAATACATGATCCTCCCAGCCATGAAACAGAAGGAAAACAGTTTATGTGGTAAAGAATTCTAAAACCATGTTTCAACAACAACAAAAAGTTTTTTTGGAGGAAACGTGGACTTCCCAGTCCACCAAGTGAGTTCATTATTCTCTGCTGGCATGAGACCATTCAATTTGAAGGGATGTGGATACAGAACACTCAGAACCACAACATAGCTATAATGACCGTCATAATATTACAATGGCCAAAATCCTATTATTTACATCAGTTGGCATAACACAACTGGCATAAACCTCATTGGCAAATTGCCACAAGTTGGCATACAGTATGTTTTTGCTATGGCCTGCAGAGTTATGCGATTCAGTGTGCAACAACAAATACCTCTTAATTTGCAGCCATTTGCCTAATGTGATTTTCGCCAAATGAATTACAGTGCCATAAAAACGCTATAGGATTTTGGCCAGTGTATGTCATCCCTTCCCACATTGAACACACAAATGCTACTGGTTGGAGGCTCACAATTAAATACAGTAGCATCCTTCATTACAACAAAGGACAGGAGATCATAAGACAAGTTCTATACTGACAGAGCCCTGCCCTGAAACAATGGGAAATGAGCAAGATGCGCAGGAAGAACAGTTGAGCAATGCTATTGTTGCCTCCCAGAATCTGCTGCCTAAGATATCTGAGGAAGCATCTGAATCATTCTACAAATACTGTACTAGCCTTACTTAGATTCAGATTTATAAAAAAATACCAGGGCCAAGCTCTTATTAAGCTCTGTCACCATTTTACACACATTGACTGAAATCTGATTGTGCAGGTATGTAAAAGTCAACTTCAGGAAAGGGATTGCTTTAAATTAACACAGTTGTGTGATTTGGCATGCCAGAGATAATGTCTATGGATATTTTTTAAATTTACAGCAATTTGCTTCCAAAAGTTAAACCTTTTTTGTTACTGTGCAACAGGATTTCAGCTATTATGTGAGAACATCTTATAGGTCATTAGAACCGGTTATGCGCTTACAGGCTTGTCTACGCCTTTGACAATCTTGTGCAGGATTCCCAGTTGCTACTACTCTTTTTATTATTGTCTCACAGGATGAAGGGTGGGATACAAACGCAGCAGATAACTTGGAGATTTCAGAGTGACTTGATCCTTTCAGCCCAACACTGTCTATACCAAGGTGGGCAACCCATAACCCTGGTCCTTGCCATTTCCAAATTTGTTGCTGAGAGATCAGCAGTGAAAACAAACCTGCTTTTCCTTTTAAACAAAGTCCATGCTCCTTGTGTGCTGGAAGTATAGGTCTCCTTGGAAGCAAGAAGCATGGGGCCTACGAGTCTTGTTTTAAAAGGAAATCAGGTTTGCTTTTACATTGCAGCAGAAAATTTACCAGTAGCAAGGTGTGGAGTGTGACCTGTCATGGCTTAGGGAGGTGCAAATGCAGACCAACAATGCCTGCAGCAATGGGCAGGATCTTTCCAGAAGTTTAGACAGAAATTTATTGAGTCCTATGAGGGGAAGCTAGGGATGGGACACAGAGCCATCTGCATTCAAACTGTGTGCTCTGCCACTAACCTAAGGTCTTTGTCATCTGACACAAACATTACAAAGATGAACCTGATTAATAAAATGTTTAGTTGTATGTTTGCCTCAGTTAGAGCACTCCAACAGAAAGAGTAGGATTTTGAAAGAGCTGAACACTTGAGCTAGTTATGAAGTCTGCTGATATAACTGATAATATTCAATTGGAGTTTGTTAGTTTTTTGTTCATTTCACTTTTTACCGTTTTAATCTCTGTTAATTAATATATCACCTAATCGAGTAGTTACATTTATTTTGCAACAATAATTAATATGTTATTTTGAAGAAAGCTAAATAAAGTAGACTAAAGTATATCATGTGTGGCTGTTTAATACCTGGGGATAAACAAGTTCCACCAAGTAAACACTGAATATCATACCACCTACCCTACCTATAAATCTTCCCATGGCAGGTGCCAGCATATGACACCCTCAGGCAGCTGCCAGGGCTCCAGCAGTCACCACCTATTGACATTACTTATCTGCAGTACTGCTCAAACAGTGTTTGTTTAAGGTCATTTGCAGAGTGTCTGCTTTGCACATAGGAAGTCTAAGATTTGGTTCTCAGTATCTCCTGGTGGGGCTGGGAGGAAAAAAATCCCTGGCCAGAATTTTAGTGGGAATTGATACTGGTATAAAGTGCAATTGTGGAAATTAGAGGTGGACAGGTTTGTGGTTTCAGACTACAACTCCGAGAATTCTACAGGTAGCGTACAAATACAATACAACACAACAAATGCTGCCCATTGAATTCTGGGACTTGCAGTTAAAAAAAACCACAAATCTGCACACCTCGAACTTAAACTGAGGCAGCAAATTGTCACTAATTAACGAATTGCTGCTTGCATTCCTGATTTGGTGCCTGTCACACAACCAACAATGCCAGTGGCATCTTGTTAATTACCAACAATTTACTGCTGCTCAGATTACAGCAGTGTAAACCCCCAACAGGTCTGCAGCCTCCTTATTAAATGCTGAAAATCTTTGCAGGCAATTTTTTACCTGACATCAATTTTGTTAAATTTGTCAATTTTTCCTGATGTTTGCTAATGAAGTTAAAAAGTAGCTCTTTCAGTCTCTACTACATCCAATCTTAAACCTTTCAATGTTGCTAGGTTGTACAACACAGGGGGTTTGTCAGAGTTGTGGAAGCTGCTTATAATTGTTGTTGTTTAGTTGTTTAGTCATGTCCAACTCTTCATGACGCCATGGACCAGAACATGCCAGGCCCACTGCCTCCCGGAGTTGGGTCAAGTTCATGTTGGTTGCTTCGATGACACTGTCCAAGCATCTCGTCCTCTGTCGTCCCCTTCTCCTCTTGCCCTTACACTTTCCCAACATCAGGG